TTGTTAATAAAGAAGTTATTTCGTGTGTGTATTTTAAAGAAGTAATTACACATACATAGTATAATTTTTTTAATATAATCTTCTATGGAATCATATAAATGAATATTAAGAGAAGGTTTAAAGACTTATTTATTTTATATAAAAATGAGTTAAAATCGTCCCCAAAATCAACTGGGTTAAAATGAGTATGAGCTGGCTAACGTCTCACATGTTTCATAGCTAACGTTTCACCACGTATCATGCTACCACGTTAGAAATTGAAAACATTGAAATTCGTGTAAAAATGTTTTGATCATCCTCCTCCACCCCCGACACCACCACCTCTGCCCCGACTTTCGACTTCGACCCCGTCGCCTTCCGCCGCCTCTCCGGAAGCCTCTCATCGTCGTTCTCTTCATCTATACATAACAGCTCATATTTACTCATGACAAGAGATGAAGAGATATATACCCAGTTTTCTGATCTAGGATTGCCGGAAACTACATCTTGAAATAAGTGCAGGCACATATCCCAGAAGTATGACAGTTAGAAACGAATGGAAATTGCTGACTGAAAACGTGAAATTTGAATGAAAATGAGAAGGAAATCATTATTGGGTATGCTTAAACAGTGATAAGAAGGGGAAAAGGGGAAAACAAGTAATAGTACTGATGTGTTACTTCCCTTGCTTGGTCAATTATCGTCATTTCGCGTAATAGTAGATATGCATTATGAAATGTTGTTTTCATGGTTTCTCTATAAATATTTTTTTAAAACAGGAAGTAAAGTGAAAACAATAAAATTTATGTAGTTATTTGTTAAATCGTAAAGAGAAAAATAGAGAATATTTTCACGAACCAAACAAGCTGTTACCTTTTCGTTGCTTTTTTTTCTATTCTTTCTCCTCTCTGCATGATGAGTTGGATCAATTTAAATAATATTTTTCTTAATTTATAAACAGGGGTTTCATCAAAGCTGAAGGTAGGTATTATGATATCTTTGGTTTCTCACCATGCATTTGTTTCTCATAATTTTTTCCACTCTTGGATATAAATTATGTTTGAACCCTTTATATTGAAATTCAAGAGTGAGTTGCAGTATTCTATTACTCAAATAGACAGATTAAACAACACAGTAAAAAATTCTCACAAACATCATGTTTAATTTCAAGTTAAAGATAATATAATGTTTTCTTATGTTTTGACTCAGATTCACTGGTTAAGATTTTCCACTATTTTTTTTTTCTCTGGGATTGTCAAGTCATCTGATCTGGGAGCTTCATTTACCTATTAATGATGCCTGCTTTGTGCTCTCAATGGATAATGAGGTCAAAGTACATAACAAAGTTGAGAAAGAGGTATAATTTGGTGGAAGCACCATACACGGACATAGTCTTTCACATCTTTTGTCCATGCTGTTCCCTTTGTCAAGAGTTCAGAGAGCTAAAAATTAGAGGACTTGACCCTGGTCTTGGTAACTCAGCTCCTTCCTTCTGTTCTTCCTTATTCAACTTTGCGTTCTTAATTATTATCTCACATACCTTATTGCAATTTTAATGCAGGATGGAATGGAATTCTTGCATAAAAGCATGCAAAACAACAAAGTGATCAAACACTGAACAATCCTCCTTCAAACCAATTCATGTCCAAGTTGTTAGAATAAACAAAAACCGAACAAGTTCAGTGTATCCAGTCAATATAAAAGCAGAAAAATAGACTATTGTCATATACAGAGAATACAAGAAATTATTCATTACCTTACGTTCTTGTGCTCTTTCTGTTTTCTCTCTGAACTCTGAGCATCATCATCTTCTCTGTGAATAAGGGTTACAAACCCTAGCATCTCGTTTTGTCTCTGTCTTCTCTCTAGAAGCCTCAGTAGCATTGAAGTGTATTTCTCTCTCATGCCAGCACAGATTTTCACTTTTTTTTTACGTTTAAACGTTGTGTGTTTTTACTTTTATGTCCTCACATCTAATATGGTATAAAGAGTGTGGTTCCTGGCGTGTACAGTGAGTGTGTGATTGGTGACTGGAATTGTGTGTATCTAGAAAAGGAGAAAGAAGGTTTCTTTGGGTGTGGGTAAATTAAAGAAACTGCAAGAAGCTAGTAAGAAAGTGATGGAAAGTATTGGAGGAATACAGGGGCCGTTGCCAGTAAAAACGCATTTAAACAGTTAAAAACGTGTTTAAACAGTAAAAAACGTGTTCACTCGCTGGTAAATTCGCCCAACGAGTTGACAAGCGAGTGGACAGAATTTTGACAACTTTGTTAGTCCGATTGAACCCCTTCTTGATGTTGGAATTATGAGTATGAGTACTCGAATCGAAGATCTTAGAGTCTACTTTCGAATGGAAAAAGAATCAACTCAATATCTAGTTTGTACAAAAAGTTATAATTAAAATATTAAACCATGTCAAAGTTGACGGCATTGTATTTTACACACTAACTTGAACTTTTGTTACAACTTGATACATTTTGAGTTTCTTAATATTCTAATGACCCGAGACTCACATTTTTCTTCAATTTTTCATGGTCTTACACAAGTGCCTTTTTAGAGGTAGTTTGCTAAAAGAGTAAGTGAGCTCATTGAGCGAGTCTGCCGAAATGTTGTATTTAATATGGGTTTCAAAAGTGGAAAATCTTTTGAGAAATTATTCTAGTATGATTATGGTTTAAGGGAATGAAAAGAGACTAGTGTATTAAAATGATTTTGGATAGAGGTGTTGAGTATATTGTATCATTATGATGTTCCTAAGGAGGAATGCCATAATATATAGTTATTATAAAGTTATGCCTTTAGTTGGTAATCCACATTGTGAATTCATCCTAACTCTATTAGACTTGTTGACTCATACAGAGGATATGGCTTACATAGTGTGAGTTGAGGAAGGTTCCTATAGCACGATATGAGGTTGAAGACCCCTTTTTTGGAGAGACTTTAAGTGAATTTATCCTGTCATGCATGATTGAGACCAGGTAAATCAGGATCGATCGTGACATTTTATTTCATGATTTCAAGACAAATTCTTGACTTCACAAGTATTCGACTCAATGCATAAATCTATAATTAAGTCTATATTTATTTTATTTATGAGTCTTTTAAAATGTGTTGTTTGCTGGTAAGAATATATGACTATTTAAGTGTTAAGAAATTTTATATTGTAAAATTTTGGATTTATGGAGCTTCAAAGTTATCATTAGTTTATTTTTTGTTTGGTTATTGAGTTTTCCACCTATAATAATTGCATGTTATATGTAAACTAAAAATAATGTAAGTAAAAGGATTGAGAAGCAACGAGGCTCCTAATGGTTGATTAGAATATAGTTGTTACATATGTATATAGTTTTGTATTGTATAGATTCTTTAATTGCTAAAAAAGTTTATATCTTCTCATAAATATATTTTAAGTTTTCAAGTAGATTTATAAATACATATTATAGTATTATATTATAGTATTATGTGATTGCTTATTGCTTAAATACCTAAATTGCAATAATTAATAGCTAAAGTGAGATGTTAGAATAAAATTACTACTTTTAATCTTAAAACTTATTTAAAAATAGATAAATAGCATTCTATTTGGATTTTTTTGTTTTGTTTTAGAGATATAATATTAAATATAACACGACATTATTAAATTTATCTAAAATGATTTAATAATGTTACATTAGTCAAAATTGAGATTATGGTTAATATTGTAAGGTGTTCATAAATTCTAATAGTTGGATCGTCACACGAATTATAAATTTTACTTTTTATAATAAAAATGACAAATTATTAAAATAAAATTATTTCCTCCGTTAATACTTTATCAACTTAAGTTTATAGAAAATGAATTATGTATAAAAAATTCGTCATTTTTAATTATATTTAAAATTTATTTTAATTAAAATCTTATTTATCAGTTTGAATTTTATTTTAATTAAAATTTATTCAAGTTAAAGGGTGTAATTGAAAACTCCTTCAAATTTTAATTAGGTGTTAATTTTATTTTAATTAAAAGCCATTCACAGAAAAATTAGTGTTGTGCGTCTAAAAAAGTGAATTCAATATCAATAATAATTTTAATAGAGAGATGTTGAGATTGACAATACCAATAAGGTAAAATTTTAATTATATTAACTTTTAATTAGGTTAAATGCAGAAAAAAAAGATGAATTTTACTTAAATTTATTTTTAATTGGTATATATAACAATAAATTTTTAATTGTATTAAAGTTTAGTTAGATTTAGATTTTATTTAGATTTAATATATTCATATAAAAAAGTGAACATATAATGTATGTAAAAATAAAGATGATTTACACAATATTTATGGATTTATTTGATAATTCTAATAATTTTATTGTGTTATGATTATATGAAGGATCTGAAATACAAATATTGTTTCAAAGAGTAGAAAATACAACAAATTTTTTTTTTGAGAATTTTAAAATAAATAATACCTTTTTATAAATATAAAAACCATTTTTTAATTTTAATTAAAAATATTAAGGTAATAAAAATAAATATTAAAAAAATAATCTGAACGAATACATTGAGTCATCACCTTTTACCCACTCATCTTTATCATTTAACTATTATATTTTGTACAAGTAAAAAGAAAGAAAAAGACCGATGAGAGAGAAAAAGGCGGTGCTTCTTCCATTTAACAATGATACTAATTACTATTGTTTTTAAAATATTTCTTCTACCTTGCTTGGTGTGCACTGGAGTTCCCATTCCCAATGAAAAATTTGAAATGTCCATTTTTGTAGATTTTGGAGATTTCAAATTTGGTATGTAAGACTGTATAAGTAGGTGAAATATTAGTTAGTGAAAGTAATGTGACCCTCTTAAATTTTGGTTTTGTTCATAGCTCACAAAGTCAGAACTAGAACTAAATCATTTGAAATTCCAAATTTTTTACAAACTAATGAGTTTATCTTTATTATTTGAAGGAAGACAAGAAAACTCAATAACCCTTTTCTTCTGACATTGTAATGAGCAATGTTGTTTCAGTAGGGAGTGTTAATTTTTTATCACCATAAGGGGTTTCATTTGTGCTGAGATTTTGCAGGATCAAGTTTGGCCTTTTATTTCTTTAATGCACAGTGGTGACGATGATGATGATGGAAATAACATGCATGATGATTAGTTGATGGCTTTTATCTTTTGCTCTCAAGTGCCATCCTATGTTGGTGTGCGGACCATTTATAACATTGATTCCCTTGAAATCTGATCTGGCTTGTCTTTTTCATTTTCTTCAGGATCAATTTTCCCCCACCTCTTCACATTTGCTTGCTTTGTCTTTGTGGGTGCTTGTTATCAAATATCCATAGCTTAAAGAAACCGCCTTTTGGAATCAGCATTGGTTTTTTTCCTAGTTTTCTTTCTGGGTATTTTTCTGGGGGGAGGAGGAATACTAACCTGATATTGAAATGCTTTCTGGTGAGCTTTGGAGATGCATGGTATAGAATTGTAGGGTTGTGTTGGGGTTAAGAAAATGGGATCTCAAGGTGGGGCAGTTCAAGAGGCAAACACTACTACCCCTTTGGTTAGGCAAGGATCCTTGTACAATCTGACCCTAGATGAGGTGCATAACCAGATTGGGAATTTGGGGAAGCCACTTGGCTGCATGAATCTTGATGAGCTGCTGAAGAGTGTGTGGAGTGCTGACATGCAGGATGGCCAAGCTGCTTCAGATTCCTCTCTGAATCCTCAGGGCAATGTAACTTTGTCAAGGGATCTTAGCAGGAAAACTGTTGATGAGGTGTGGAGAGATATGCAACTGAAGAAGGATGAGAAAACCCAGAAAAGAAATCCTACACTTGGTGAGATGACTCTGGAGGATTTCTTGGTGAAAGCTGGAGTGGTAGGTGATTCAAATGGAGGTTCCTTACAGCATGGTCATTGGATGCAATACCAGCATTCTTCAGTGCAGCATCAGAATATGGTTGGGGGTTATGTGACTGGCCATGCCATTCAGCAGCCTTTTGTTCTTGATGCATCATACTCTGAGCCAGCTTCTGTAATAGGAGCTTTATCTGATACACAAACTCCCTGTCGAAAAAGGCTTGCCTCTGGTGATGTGGTGGAGAAAACTGTGGAGAGGAGGCACAAGAGAATGATTAAAAATAGAGAATCTGCTGCTAGATCTCGGGCAAGAAGACAGGTTACATTGCATTTGTGTGTTTGAGTGTGTGTGGGATGTTATTCTTTGAAATCTGTTTTTTTTTCCTTCTAATTTGATACAAGGTGTCATCTATGCTCATGCACAGGCATACACACAAGAACTGGAGATTAAAGTTAAGCAGTTAGAAGAGGAGAATGAAAGGCTTAGAAGACTGAATGTATGTTTGTAATTCTTACCTTTTTTTTTCTTTTTTCTTGCTTAGAAGGCTTAGAAGAGGAGATTAAAGTTTTGCCTTTTTTATCTTTTTCTTGTTTAATGAAATATTTGTTTGTCACATCTCTTCATGGCCTGTGGCCTGCCCATCTTAGCAGGAAACTGTATGCGGAAATGCTTGTTATAAAAAATTTCATCTGGCTAAAGCTTGTGGTTGTCTGATATCTTCTTGGATTAGGGAACTGATTTATGGCAATGAAAAGTGAGTGCTGGTTTTTTCACCATATAAGTGTAACTTTAAACAAAAGTTATCGAAATGGCCAAACTTTACAAATTTTAAGCATATTGCTATGTCATTTTTTTTCAATAACTGAAGTCCTATAGTGGCGGCTCAAAACAATTGAAGTTGTGTTATCTCTACACAATTTCACTTCAAATCAAAATATACGAAGTCGTGTCATTCTTACAGAACTTCAGTTCAAATTAGATTACATTAAAATCACCTATGCATGATTTCAGTTCCAATTAAGAAAAAATAAGAAACAGAATGGAAGAAGTCAGATAGAAGCAGGATCACTTCACTTTAAGAAATTTAAAGTCGAGCTATGCAAGCACACGACTGCTTAATAAAATTGTCATGGATACATAAAATTTTTAAAATTTGTCCATTTCCATAATTTTGGTTTAAAATTGCACTAATATGGTGAGGATGATGGACTAAATTGTAGTGATTAGTGGTAGACAAACCTGTTAAAAAGAAGGCAACGGATGAATTGTTCTTTTATTTAGAAAAGGAAAAGAAATAAAAGCGTTAGGCTCAAAACTAATACTAAGAATGTTCAAATAGTTGAACTTCTACGATAGAGTGGTCTTTGTCGCTATTATGATTCTTTAGTATTTAAATTGCATTTGGATCTACATTTTCGCGTGTTTTACATCAGAGAATGTTGACAAAAAAAAGTAAACTACAAAACTTTGTGAGGATAACGTGAAATTTTCTCTTCCCTTAAAACCATAATGTTTCCTAATAGAAGTTGGTTGACAATTAATAAGTTGCAGAAAACTCCATTGATTGGCCTAGTCAATATTTAATTTGTTACTGTGTCTGTCTTTTGTGATCGTGGCTGACAAGGGAAGATAGAAACAAAAGTATTTCGTGTTTGTACGTGCTTGTTTCTGGGACATATTAACTGCATGTGTTGCTGTTAGGTTTCTTTATTCAGGAAACCAAAAGAGATCACTCTCTTCTCACCACAATACTCAAAACAGCAAAAGATAAATGTATGTATATGTATTTTATTGATTCTGTAATGTATAGAAAGAAAAATACAATTATGTGTCCCCAAGAAAGCCTTCCTTCCTTTACTGGAAAATATGTCCAGTCTATACCCAAAAGAAAATATCTGATAATCCTTTTCTCAGCTTATTTTGTTTTTATTTATACTCTCTCTACTAACAAACTAACCTCTTTTTTTGTCTTTAATTTCCTCCTCTTTTATTCCTTTTCACGTATACCTTTAACTTCCTAACATCAACCTTGTCCTCAAGGTGAAGTCAGGGAACTACTGTTTGATGTATTGCTCCTCCTCCCAGGTAGCACCCTCCAAACCACCCTCCTGCCATTGTATTAGGACTTGGGGTATCTCCTCCCCTTGCTGCTGCTGGTTTCTTCGTTGTAGCACTTTCATAGGTGTATACATGGGTCTGTCGTCCTGCAGTTCAGTTGGTAGGGCTCCTTCAACCTGATGTGCTCTTATAGTTAGCTTCAGCTGGGTAACATGGAATACAAGGTGTATTCTTGATGTTTCTGGTAGCTGTAACCGAAAAGCTACAAGTCCTATTGTTTCTCCATTAGGAATGGTCCATAATACCTTGCTGAGAGCTTAGGATGTAGTCTTGTAGGCATAAACATTTGTCTATGAGGTCTGACTTTAAGGAATACCCAATCTCCTTCCTTGATCTCAGCCTCCACCCTCTTCTTATTGGCATAGTGTGTCATCTGGTCTTGAGCTCTGGCCAGATGATATCTCAGTTGCTTCAAAGCCTCATCTCAGGTCTGCAAATCCTGCGCAACTGCTTCCACCACTATTTCTCCAGGTATGAATTGTGTTAGTGTGGGAGGGGTTCTTCCATAAACTGTTTCAAAGGGTGTGCACTTGGATGCTCCTTGGTAACTGGTATTGTACCAGTATTCAGCCCAAGGCAACACCAAACTCCAACACTTGGGCTGTTCTGAACTAAAACAATGCAAATATGTCCCTAGCACCCTGTTCAAAACTTCAGTCTGCCCATCCGTCTCTGGATGATAGGCAGTGCTCATCTTAAGTTGTGTTCCCTACAAGCGAAAAATATTCTGCCAAAATACACTAAAAACAGTGGAATCTCGATCACTTACGATGGTCATAGGTATCCCATGGAGTCTAATAACCTCCTTCACAAACACTTCAGCTATGGATCTTGCAGTATAAGGGTTCTTAATTGGGATAAAATGCTCATACTTGCTGAGTCTATCCACCACCACCGATATAGTGTCAAATCCATGAGACTTGGGTAATTTCAGCACAAAGTCCATACTGATTTCCTCCCATATTGCTTTCGGGATAGGTAATGGTTGCAAAAGACCTTGGGGAGATGATGCCAAGTATTTATGCTGTTGACATACTAGGCATGCAACCACATAATTTGTGACTGCCTTCTTCATTCCCACCCAATGCAAAGACTGTGCCACCTTTCTATAGGTCCTATAGACCCCTGAATGTCCTCCTGTGAAAGTGCTATGAAACTCATCCAATAATCTAGGTATCCAGGCAGACTAAGCCGATAGAACGAGCCTCCCCTTGTAATGTAATTGCCCATGTTCCAAGGTATGTGTAGGATGGGAATTAGGATCTGACCTTATTTCCTCCAACACCTTCTTTAAACTCTCATCCTTCTCGACCTCCTCCATGATTCCTGAAATTCACATCTGTAGTACTTTGTCTCCTTCAACCCATTCTCCCCCTTTTCTTGATAGCCCATCAACCACACGATTTGATGCCCCTATCCTGTATTTTATTTCAAACTCATACCCAAGTAACTTAGCTAGCCAATTTGGCTGGCTTTGGGTTGTAATGCGTTGCTCTAGTAAATACCTTAAGCTTCTTTGATCAGTATAAACAACAAACTTCTGACCCAATAAGTATGGCCTCCAATGCTGTATAACGAGCACAAGAGCCATCAATTCCTTCTCATAGATGGACTTGGTAAGAGAAGATTCAGATAAGGCCTTACTAGAGAAGGCTATGGGCCTTTTGCTCTGCGACAGAACTGCCCCCACTCCAGTGCCACAGGCATCACACTCCACATAGAAGGTTTGAGCGAAATCAGGTAAAGCCAATACTAGAGCTGTAGTCACAGCTTCTTTAAGCTTCTGCATAACTTCTGCTCCTGCTGTAGACCACTTAAACATCCCTTTTTTTAGCAGCACTAAGGGGTCTAGCCATCCTCCCATAATCTCTAATGAATCTTCTATAATATCCAGTCAGCCCAAGGAATCCTCGCAGCTCCTTGATACTTTTGGGCTCAAGCCATTTCATCACAGTTGCAATTTTTTCTCTGTCCATCTCCACCCCCACTGCAGATATTTTGTGTCCCAAATATCTCACATGCCTTTTGCCAAATTCACATTTTTTTTATTGGCAAAGAGTTTATGCTCAGCTAACACTTCCATGACTTGCACTAGATGTTGTGAGTGCTCTTCCCATGTTTTGCTATAAACAAGTATATCATCAAAGAATACCAATACAAATTTGCTCAAAAAAGGTCTTAAAACTGAGTTCATCATGTCTTGGAAAGTGGTTGGGGCATTTGTTAGCCCAAAAGGCATAACAAGAAATTCATAATGCCCCTCATGAGTCCTAAAGGCAGTCTTATGAATATCTTCACTCTTCATCCTAATATGATGATATCCAGCCTTCAAATCCACTTTTGAGAAATAAGATGCCCCTTGGAGTTCATCCAGCAACTCCTTAATGAATGGGATGGGGTATTTGTCAGCCACTGTCACTCTATTTAGTGCCCTATAATCCACACAAAACTTTCAACTTTCATCTTTCTTCTTCACTAGGATTACACGGCTAGAGTAAGGGCTGTCGCTGGGCCTAATAATGCCCAAATTCAACATCTCTTCCACTTGCCTCTCTATTTCATTTTTCATCCCATGAGGGTAGTGGTATGGCCTCACGTCTTCAAAGGAATTCTATGATCTATTCGCCTCTCAGGTGGCAATCTCTGGAGATCTTTAAATACCCTCTCAAAATCACTCAAAATTTGCCTTAACCCTGCCTCTTCATTATGAGTTAAGTCACTCTCTTCCGTCTCCCTTTCCATCAATTCAGCTTGGCTCAAACTCCAAACTAAAGTCATGGTTTCAATCTCCTTTTCTTTTAGGAGTGCTTCTGGAGTCACAACTCTCCGCGTCAAAGTGGGATCCCCTTTGATCTCCACCTCTTTCCCTTCCTGCCCAACCTTCATGATGAGCTGCCCCCAGTCCACTTTAATTTCTCCTAGGGAAGCCAACCAAGTGACTCCCAGTATCACATCCACACCTCCTAACTCAAAGAGATACAGTTTATCTCTGACTTCCAGACCCTCCAACTTCACTGGAACCCCTATACACCTGGTCACCTTCTTCTGTCCATCACCTAAGCACACTTTAAAAGGAAGTGTGTCTGTACTTTTCAGCCCCAACTCCTCCACCAATCTGGTGGAAATAAAGCTATGATTCACCCCGCCGTCAATCAACACCAATACTCTTCTCCCTTGCACCCAACCTTGCAGTTTCATTGTGTCAGACTGCATTAATCCTCCTGTAGAAAGAAACGACAGCTCCATGGTTGTTTGTTCCATTTCGAGAGTCTCCTCTGCCTCGTCTTCCTCAGCCAATATCATCACACACATGCTCCTCTTTGCACACCGATGGCCAGAACTGTAAGGCCCGCCATAGTGGAAACAACACCCTTCTTCACGTCTTTTAATATACTCTTGATAGGCCAGAGTTCTTACTCCTCTTCCTTGGGCGTTCCCTCCCCCGCTAGTGCCCGCTCTAGAGCTCAAATTACTGGAAACGCCATCTTTCTTCATCCCCTACCCTCCGCCGGCGTTAGCAGACCCCTCCGACGACCCTCGATAAGTTTCCGTCCTCGCGACGGTCCCTAAGCTCGAGGAATATCTTCCCCACGTCGCCCTCCTTTTCCTACCCTTTCACCACTCCCTCGTGATATAAACCCAGCCTGTTCAACGTCTCGCGCTCGCTCCATCGCCGTCAACAAATCTTGTGGGTCGTGCAACCTTACCAAATTTCGCAGTCCCTCCTGCAATCCAGCGAAAAAGTATCCCAATAATTGCTCCTCGTTCACTCCCGATGCCTGCGTCACTAGGATTTCGAATTCTTGGATGTACTCGTCGACGCTCCCCTTCTGTCACACGGCGGCCAGTTTCTCAAAAATGGGTCTCCGATTCAGTCCGCCAAACCTCCGCGTCAGAGCGTCACTGAACATCTTCCAAGTCGGATGCCTGGTCTTCTTCCACCAAAAGCGAAACGAGTAGCTAGCGCCTCCCTTCATACATATATGAACGAGCTTCATCTTCTCCTTCTCCGTCACATTCTGGAGGTCGAAGAATTTCTCCGCCTTTGCGATCCAGCCCATGGGATCCGCACCTTCAAATGTAGGTAGTTCAACGTGCTTCATCCAACTGCATTGCACTTCTCCTCTGTCCTCTTCTGATTCATCCTCTGAGCTCTCTGACACTTGTAGTTCGCGTTCGACATTGACGAAATCATGACTTCCTTCGGAGCTATGATCCTGGTTCCTGGAGCGTCGTCCGAGAGCGCGGCCAAACGCCTGAAGTTCGTGAGACCGCTCGCATCTCCGCCTTCAATTCTTCCACAGTCGACTCAATCGCCATCACTCGTCCCTCCATTCTTCTTCTTGCACGCTCTCTCTTCACCCTTCGATAGAGATCCGGCAGGTCGGACCAAATCTGTTAGGTTCCTTTATTTAGGAAACCAAAATAGATCACTCTCTTCTCACCACAACACGCAAAACAGCAGAAGATAAATATATCTATATGTATTTTATTTATTTTGTAATGTATAGAAAGAAAAATACAGGTATGTTTCCCCAAGGAAGCCTCCCTTCCTCCACTAGAAAATATGTCCAGTCTATACCCAAAAGTAAATATCTGATAACCCTCTTCTCAGCCTATTCTGTTTTTATTTATACTCTCTCTACTAACAAACTAACCTCTTTTTCTGCCTTTAATTTTCTCTTCTTTTATTCCTTCTCACGTGTACCTTTAACTTCCTAACAGTTGCACTTTCGTTGAATGCTTAGTTCTAATTAAACATTGCACTGATTATGAAATTTTAATGTTTGCCATTTTATTGAGACAGAGTGATTGGATTTTTATGAGTTTAGAATCTCAGTGGTAGCATAGACATGATGTAATATTTAGAATGCATCAACCTTTGGGGTTTATATCTTCCTTTGCTTACATGAAGCAGATTGATGATTTCAAATGTTGAAGTTGATAATGAACATTGGTTAAAACATCATTGAATTTGTGAGAGAACCTTCATATGATTTTGTCCATAGTTTTAGGTCTCTATTTTGGCTTCAACCCTTTTGTTCTTTTTGAAACTATTCCAAGTTATTGGGTTCAATTTCTTCTTTAGGACTTCACAAAAAGGAACCTTAAGGGAAAACTTCAATGAAAAGACCCCAAAAATGTAAACCACAGGGCAGTAACTCCAATCTGAATCTTCTGGAGGATGGATTTGCTCACAACTTTTTTTCCCTCAAAAAAAACTGAAGTGCTCTACAGTTTTAAACACAATGCACATATTATGGTTATACTTACATCTTATTGAAAACTCACAGCAGTTCAGGATAAATATTTATAACTTGTTATAATCTAGAACCTTCTTCAGGATCTTAGAGCTTGAAGCAGGACATAACTCACTTGCCTTTCCCTCATAACTTGAACATTTGGAATGGCTGTCATTACAATAGGATGATTTTACTTTTATGAGAGTTTTAATAAAATATTTTTGCAGCTGATAAACTTTATCAAAAGGGCATTTAGTCTTGCAGTTATATGCTATAACTGAGTACACCTTGATTATATAATTGCATAATTACCACAAATAAATCACAAATTAAAGTATATTTGTAGTGCACCTTAAATTGGAAGCCAAACTTGTCAAAATGTACTTAAGAGGAAAACATTGGTAGAATAGAATAGAACAAGATGAAGAAAACTGATTGCATGACAACCAACTACCCGGAGAAATTAGCCGCCCAACTTTATCCAACTCAAAGAGTCAAGAGTAAACAGTATAATTGTGATAGCATTTGAAATATATAGCTTGATTTGAATTCATGGAAAAGGTTTGGTTCATTTCATCTTACTTTCTTGAATAAGTACTCTTGAAAAGTTTGTAAAGCCATTAAAGATTGTTTTAGACTGTTCTTGTTTGTTCAGGATTTACCTGGTTGAGAAGTTTATTCAAATAGGGATGACTAATGATTTTCCTTGTTGCAGGAGATTGAGAAGGCATTGCCATCTGTGCCACCACCTGAGCCTAAACAACAGCTTCGCAGAACTAGTTCAGCCATCTTTTGATATCTTCTTTGCAATGAATTCTCAATTCTTTTTCATGCTATCACAATTATACTGTTTACTCTTGAATCTTTGAATTGGATAAAGTTGGGTGGCTAATTTCTCCGAGTAGTTCCATATGATGCAATCAGTTTTCTTCATGTTTTTAGTGTTGTCTTATCTTCATGTTTCTCGCTTTATGCCAATCATCCCACGAATCTTGTACAGATAAATTCTGCAATAGCCATGCTTGATGTTAGACCAGGTGACTCTATTCCGAAAAGATTAATAAGACCAGGTACTCCATGAATTTCCTCTCCCTGCATAAATGAAACAAAGAAGCCATTGTTTAATTAAAATGTAGAAACTAAAACTACTCTCTCCATTCACAGTGAACCTTCGAAGAATTAGTAGTTTGGGTTGAAATTAAAATGAAGAAAAACGATGTCATGTATCAAATATACATTCATTGAACACGAAATGGTCAGGCAGGTATATATAGCGCAAAAGATGAGCATGATTTTCAAATTACAAAATATAATTGCTTCCTTCGATCTTATTTGAAAAATACTAGTAGAGTAAGTTTATATAGCAGAACTTATTAAGGATGTTATGTGAGTGACCTGAAATATTTTCATGAATGAAACATGTGACATCCTTAGTTAGCTTGTGCATTTACAGTCAATAATGTCACGTATTTTTCTTCCCCTGATCAAAAGTCATCATTATACCATGTTGCCTCGTGGAACACTACAATGCTATTTTTATCCAAATCCATTCATGTGAAGTTACCTGAAGGAAAAAAATAGATCTAGAACACCAATGCTTATCATCTATCTATTTGCACTAAAGATCAACAAACTAGTAGTTTTAGCCAAAGCATATTTAACCATGATTACAATAAGACCTTGTAGTTTCCCAAACAAGAATCATTAACAGAAAAGTGTTTGGTGTGATTTCATTTATGATAAAAAGGTAGCAAATGAAGTTTAGCATCTAAATGAGTAACATATGGTGGCATAGACCATTCAGTCAAAATAAGAGAACTGCTACATAAATATTATGGATGAAATGCAGCATCGAATCTAACATCATGAACAATACTGCCTCTAATCAAGTATGGGAAATTGTCAGCATAAATTTTGACTAACAAAAGAGAGTGTGAGAAAAAAACCTGTATAACAAAATCAGCAGGTAGCTGTGAAGGTCCCGAAAGTTTAGGTCTGATCCCTGAATATCCAGGTTCCAGAGAACCGTCCTTTAGATTTGGGTAATATTTTCTTATCTCTGGATAAAATCGTTCAGCACGATTTGGATTCACCGAATAATCAAACCTAGGATTTATTGTTACTAAAGTCAATTTCTGAACTATATACACATTTCTTTATTCAAAGGCATACATGGAAAACACATCATGAGAGAAAAGGGAGAATATGAACAAAAATTTTACAGCAGCAAATTCTTTTTTAGTATTAAGTTAGTTGTTCATATCTTTTGCTTAAGATCATATGCAGCCAAAGTAGCTCTAGTGAGGGAAACACTTACGTATATGAACTTAAAATTTAGGATAAATCTAAAGGATAAAGAAATAAATGAATGCAGACAATACAATGGGGCATCCAAAAAGAATAGACATGATCTGGATATAGACATAAACCAGTAAATGCGGAATAAATCCAAGCTGTAGTTCCATCAATAGGATCAGAATTAACAGAAAATGCCTATTCTAAGTAGAGTGCAGAATCTATCTTCCCCTGTTAGAAACTACAACATGATTTCATTATGTTTGCAACTAGCTAACATTAAAAAAAAAGCAAAAAAAATCATCTCATGACCATGATTTGTTCGTTACCTAAAGCATGCAGTAGAGTGTTCAAGTACGTAGAATGTAATCGCAATAATGGTAGGGTGAAAAATGCTCCATGTGAACATGTTTAACAGAGCACTAAGATATAATAATTATATATCATGGAATTGAACTATTTCAGACACAAGCAGATGTTGCTATACGAAGTAGGGCATGCAATAGAAGCAGATACTAAAACAAACAAAAGCATGAAAATGACAGGAAATACTTATTCTGAAAGCTTGAGATATCATCAACACTGTCAATCCATTCAACATTTGGGCCAAACTTGACCTGACCATTCAAGTCTATAGTAACATGCACTCCAATGCCACCATCCTCTGGTATAGGATATATCAAATGTCTAAACGGAGAGACTTTAGTATTAGATAAGGTAAAGTAGCAACCCCGTGCATAGTAAGAAGGAGGAACAACTCCACTTTTTAGGCCACGAAATCTATTTGCAAGGGCAGGGGCACTTAGGCCAGTAGAGTTCACAATGAGTTTAGAACTTAGTAGTAGTTCTGGATGCAAAATTGATGTTCCTTTCCATTCTTTAAGACGGTCAGTTTCTGTCACATGAACACAAATATCATTCCCTTCGACATGGCCGCCAATGACTGTTGAATTGTACGTGAAGGTTGCTCCATGATTTTCAGCTTCCCCCTGGACGAGTATGAGGATTCATATTCCTGTGAATATATCATTCTAACTCAAAATAAAGGCAATGCGTAATTATCAAGAACTGATTGTAAAATAGATAGATTCACAATAAGTTTGGATGTCTTAATCCATCTTTACAACATGGTAAAAGAAGCTAGAAATGCATACCACTAAAGAAAGCATTAATGAATGAGAATCAACAATCCCAGTGACAGGTGATAGTATTGCTTTCATGCATTGCAATTCAGGCTCTATTTTCATGGCATCAACACCATCCACCATCTTCAAACCATCAACCCCATTTTGAATCCCACGATCTAAAATATCACATAGCTTTGGAATCTCAGAAGATCTAGTAGCCACTATAAGCTTACCAATTTGTTTATGTGGAATATCATGCTGGGAGCAATACTCATATAACATATCTCTTCCCCTTACACAAAAAATTGCCTGCAAAAAACAGACTGAATTATGGTCTACATAAAGGGGAAAAGCTGTAGTCTTGGTTAGTTTCCAGGAAAATGAGTCAGCAAACAAAAAATCACCAGTATATTATATGAATGTAACGATACTTCTAGCATTATAAACATTGTTTTCACTTTGTATGGCAAAAAGAATAGCTATGATGGCCTAAACCAAGGTAACCAACGCACTGCAAACCAGTTCACTTTTTGATAATAAAAGTGAGGTCAGAATATAAATCATGTTTGCTGCTACTACCATATAACATCAATTTTATTCACTAAAACTAGAGCATAATGATTCATCATATGTTTTTACTTTTACCCAAATGTCGAAATGTTTAAGTAATGCATTCAATAGAAGTTCAAATGCAAAAATGTCATCTCTTAATCCATTGCCTCCCAATTGATCAACTCAAATGATCAAGCCTTCTAGGTCAATGAATGACTCAACCATTTGAGTCTCCAATACCCAATATTCTCTTTTCACCAAGTAACACATAAGACAGATTTCAGACCCTCCGTCAGATTTCTGGGGTTTGTGTGGCCACAATTCTTGCTATATCGACCGCATTTGTCAGCAATTTTAACGAAATCGAACCACAGCATAGAAATGGCACCTATATTTTGTGGGTAGATAAAAATGACAAATTTGATTACAAGGGAAATACCCACCTTGAAAGAATTGGCAGGGTAATAGATTCCAGCATGAATAACTTCACTGCTTCGGGAACTGGTCCCAGTTCCAAAGGTGGGGGCTGATTCTACGACCAACACTTTCCTGCCCTTGAGTGCTAGAGCTCTTGCCACTGCTATGCCAACAACACCAGCCCCTATCACTACGCACTCCACTCTCTCCTTTGGAACACTGTACGAGGTTGACCTGTTGTCATTACTTTGGGGCTTGCTGCTCATGCTTCTCACCCAATTGCCAAATAAGTGTTTCTTCCATTTCATATGAACATCACCTTTTCTTCTTGATGCTGATATGCATCCTCCCAACCTTTGAACTGTTTGTTTCAGCATTTTTCCAGCTTAGGATGTTTCAACTCTCACCTTGTTTGTTTGTTTGCAAAGAGAGAAAGATAAGTACAAGACGAAAACATGGGCCAATTCACCATTAACAAAGGAGTTTTTGGAGATAGTATATCATCGAGAGAGGCTTTTGCACCAAACTAGGCATATTTGCCTAGCATATTACCTAAATGGGCAAATTTTGACCAAATATGAAGTCGTTGGGGCCAAAACTACTTCAAATGAAGAAGTCATGTCATTTGACCAGTGGTGAAGTCGTGCACCCCAAAAACGACTTCTGGATCCTGTAATCGATTACAAGATCCTGTAATCGATTACAAGATCCTGTAATCGATTACAAGATCCTGTAATCGATTACACAATGTTGAAATCGTGACTCCCCTGCACGACTTCAGTGTAGTAGGCAAAAATAATACTGGTAATCGATTACTACACTTCTGTAATCGATTACCAGTGTTTTAAGTGTGCAAGAACCACCCTGGTAAGCGATTACAAGCTTGTTGTAATCGATTACCAGTATGTTTTGGTTGATTTATGAAAATTTCTATTGTGTTGTAAAACATTATTTGAAATTAATTATGTGTAATGACTTGAATATTTGTAAGCACACATTGTTGTTGATGACATTGTGATTTATTGTTATGTATAGGAAGAATAATTAATTTAATGTAAATAGAACAAAGAAAGTAAAATCATAAGACAAAATCATAAATGAAATTTGTAGTCTTTTATTGAATTCAAAATGCATTACAAAAGCTCGATTCAGATAGTACTCACATTGCCGCGTCGTATCAAATTCAGTCCGGACAAACCCATCCATTCCAATCAAGAGTTTGATTGCAGATATTAAAGCTCGATTCGGATATTCTGTGTCATATAGAAAAGCTTGGATCGCTAAACAAAAGGCTCTTGCTATGGAGTTTGAAGACTGGGAAGACTCTTATAACCACATGCCGAGGTGGTTGCATGCCGTGAAGGATGCAAATCCAGGTACAATTTTACAATGCACTGGTTCTCTAGTGCAGATTGATGGACAAACTGACAATAATTGCTATATTATGGAAAGAGTTTTCTGGTCTTTCGGTCCTTGCATACAAGGATTCAAATACTGTAAACCCATTCTTCAAGTTGATGGTACATTTCTAACAAGTAAATATCATGGAACTTTGCTCACCGCCATAGCTCAAGATGACAATAGAAATCTTTTTCCATTGGCCTTTGTCATTGTAGAAGGTGAGACAAAGGAGGCCATGATATGGTTCTTTCAACTACTTCGAGAACATGTTTGCCCTCAACAAAATATTTGGATCATCACTGACAGAGGAAAGGGTATCCTATCGGCCTTAAGATCAGAAGAAGTTGGTTGGGAACAAGATGGTTTGAACTCTGTTTATTGCATACGTCATCTAGCATCCAACTTCAACAACAAAAAATTCAAAAATCATGACCTCAAAAAACAATTCATCAATTTAGGTACTACTAAAAACATTTTTAATACATTTTTACTTTTATAATTTTGTAACATTATTCTAAACTTTATTTATTTATTACGTCATTACAGCTTACGAGGTCAAGCAACCAACTGTCACGCCAAAACTTACTGCACTAAGAAACCAATACCCACAACAAGTTGATTGGATAGATAAAATCCCATTAAAAAAAATGGTCTCAGGCTTTTGATAGAGGGAGAAGATATGGACATATGACCGCTAATCTTGCTGAGTGCACCAACTCCATCTTAAAGGGAGCACGTTCATTACCAATATGTGCTCTCATCAGAACAACATTTGAGAGGACACAATCATGGTTTGTTGAACAAGGATTAAAGGCGAACTATATGCTACAAGCAAGCCACCAATTTCCTGAACAAATCGCCGACATCATTAGGAAAAATCAACAACAATCCGCATTTTGTCATGTTCATCGCTACAACCGTAAAAATTCTGAATTTGATATTCAGGAAATTTCAACACCTCACTAATACCGCCCTGTTTCACTTTCCTATAAGTTCAAGCCTAAATGAATGGTGGTGTGATTGTGGTCACTTCCAGGCTACTCGTCTCCGATGTCATTATGTCATTGTTGTTTGTGCATTTTCGCATATCCTACTAACCCAAGTAATCGATCCAGTGTACAGTCTTAACAACATTTTCAAGGCATATGAAGTACAATTTCACCCAATCCAAAATCAAGATTATTGGTTTGCGTATACAGGTCCAAACTTCATACCAGATCCTAAAATGCGACGCAAGGCATCCGGAAGACAATCTACAAATAGGATTCATAATGAAATGGATCAATCGAATCCAGATAAGCCAAAAAAATGCTCTTACTACCGCAACGAAGGTCATCATAGGGGAAATTGTTCATTTCGTCATTAGTTATTTCTTAATCTTACCCAATTGTAATCAAATCGATTATTAATATATTACTTTTAATATTTCTTATTAATATTTTTTTTCTCTTTTCTTCAAATTTGTCTCCATTCATTAAATAATAACCACAATTTCGTTTTTCGTATAACACAAACAATATATAAAATATGTAAACTGCCAAATAATTTTCATAAACCAACCAAAACACACTGGTAATCGATTACAACAAGCTTGTAATCGCTTACCAGGGTGGTTCTTGCACACTTAAAACACTGGTAATCGATTACAAAAGTGTTGTAATCGATTACCAGTAGCATTTTTTCCTACTACACTGAAGTCGGACAGGGGGGTCACGATTTCAACATTGTGTAATCGATTACCAGTACCTTGTAATCGATTACAGGACCCAGAAGTTGTTTTTGGGGTGCACGACTTCACCACTGGTCAAATGCACAGTGTGAAGTCGTGCAGGGGGACACGACTTCTTCATTTGAAGTCGTTTTGGCCCCACGACTTCCCTATTTTGGTATTTTGAATTGAATTTGCCTATTTTCATAATATATAATCTATTTTTGTCTATTTTGGTAACAAAGCCCCATGATCAAGAGCAATGCCATAAAATGTAATGAATGCTGAACTTACCTGACTTGTCCTCATCTATTTTTAGTTTCTTGAATAGGTTGACATCTTCCCATAGTTGCTTTCTCTTGCAGCTTTGGCCTTTCAGAATCTCGCCTTTTGAAAAGTGCAAAGAAAAGTATAGTAAAAATTTTCAACACACAGAATAGCTACTTATAAATTGAAAACTATTTCCTGATCTTTTCATCAGATAACATTAAATGTTGACAAACTTATAGATGTAAGTAATGAAAGCCAGAAGCTTGAAGATAGATAGGTGTTAACAGAATTGTAAAATGATATTTATAATATTTAATTAAGTTTTAAGTCTCTCATAAATTTTTGTATTTTTAATTGAGTTTTTAGATATTCAACTTTTATATTTTTCAATTAAATCTTTGTCATTTAATCTTTTCATAATTGGATGACATAATTCTTATTTTATTTCCCCGTACTGTTTCTTTGTATTCAATTGTTAAAAATATGAGATTCATCTTGCTTCTTTATGATTAATATAAAATAGTATTATGCTCACTTATATATCCATGTCTTAAATAATATGAAATTTTATGATTAATATAAAATAGTATTAGGTGAATTTTATTATTTCAATATTGTTTTACATTAACACGAGGAAACAAGATTAAGAAGCAAGATAACACTCAGGCTCCCAATTAAAGTAAGGACTCAAATGAAAATATACTTATTTATTAATAAAACCTACTTATAATCATGGAACTGAATTATGTACCTGGGCTGCTCTCTTTCAATTTTTTATTCTTGATCAAGTTGATAGCTTCCAGTTGAATTCCTTTAATGTTAAAAGCATTCTTACTTTCCATCATCTTGCCAATCCCATTTTGAAAATATATTGAGTCATGTCCTCCTGATCATCACAACCATATTTAGCTAAGGAGAATTACATCATTCTTAAACAAAGCACACATCCTATTTAGAAAATATAAATAACAGAAAGGAATAAAATTGAAAAAATATAATTGACCAAGCATGTTCAGGAACACATAAACACATCATGACATGGGAAACTAGGAAAACCCCCAATTACAATACCTTAATGAAATACAATAAATTACCAACATTCAAATCAAAACATGTAATTTGCGTCAGTAACAGAAACCATAGTTTGAATTCTGAAAATTGAAAAGAAGAAAAAAGTGAAAATGAAGAGACATAC